TCACAAATACACAAACAGTGCAACACAACTAAGAAAAAGTATAGCAAACCGATGACGCACGAGATAAATATCATTTTTAATTTACTAAGTTCATGTGAAAATATAAAATCGAATATCATCAAATTATTGAATATAATAGAAATCTTCAACGTTCTTCTTCTTAGTTCTAGGTTAAATATTACTCCGTAGTTCTAATTTAATTTATAGTTGAACCTTGAGAGCTAAAATTTAAACCATATTAATTAAGTTGTAAAAAATGCACAAACATGATACACCAAAAAGTCATGTACACTACATTACTAGAAATAAATAATCATTAATGATTTCTAAAATTTCTTTCAATACATACCAAAATATAACATAAATTATCTAAAAAGAAAAACTAGCAATATATATATATATATATATATATATATATATATATATATATATATATATATAACACATTTTAGATATGTTAGGGACACATGAATACATACTTGGGGTATAAAATTGTTGTTCTTGATCTATTGATATAGAAAAAATAAAAAAATTCAAATGCATTATTTACGAACGGTTCGGTCCGGTAGTTTTCGGTTCTCAAAATCTAGGACCGGTCCCGTACCCGTTTCAAACGGTATGGTTTCAGTACGGGATAAAAATCTATAGAATCATTTAAATACCCGGTATTTGGTTCGATACGATTACGGGATGATTCGGTACCGGTTAGGTTCGGATTTTATGCCCACCCCTACTTCCGGTTGTTGGCTTTACTCCTTTTGCTTTGTTTTCTCTTTTCTTTGTTCGATGCTTTTCACTTTCTTTGTTTTTGAGTTTTTGGTTGCTTTTCGGTTTTCAATGCTTTAGTTTTTTTCTTTCCTAGTTCTTTCTGTTCTTTATATTTTTCTTTGACATGCTTTAATTTTTTTCAACTATTATGAAAATGTATTATATAAAATATGGTTAATGTTTGAGTTTGTTTTTTCTTCTTTTTTCGATCAACCTTTTAACTTAAGTTTTTTTAATTCGTGCATTATAAAATATATGTAGTATTAGTTATTAGTGTTTTGTTTTTCTATTTTTAATTTTAAGATGTATATTTTTAGTTTATTGAATAATATGTGTTAATTACTAACATGGGTTTTATGTTATACTAAAATGAGTATGATGTAAAATATATGTGCATGAGTAAATATTATAAAAACAACAATATTATATTTGTAATTCAACAAAAAAGATTCTAAATTAATTTTCATAAAACATTTTTATATTTCTCACTGTTATATAAAATGATAGTTTAATATACTAGATGTACATATCATAGAAAGAAGTTTATGGTATATTCGAGTGAATGTAACTATTAAAAGAAATGAGCATACACAACTGAATATTTGAACACATTAGAAAATTCAAATGAACTTTTGAACTTTTTTATGCTCATTTTGTAAGTTACGTATATTCATCTGTTATTGGTTAAATGCTCATTTTAAAATGTCATATTAATGCATAATTCAAAACTATCATATTATAGTAGATTCACATGAAAGTTGATTATAGACACGAGATTGAAGATCATGATACTCAATTACATGTTTATATTACTCAATAGAGAAAGTTTGATGCTCAATGAAAATGTCTTAATTCTCAACTACCAAAGCTTATTATTTTCATATCAATGCTCATTTTATTAGTTACGTATGCTCAATTGGTACTCATGTTACGCTCATTTTTTAAATGTCATATCAATGCATATTTCAAAAGTATCATATTAAATTAGATTCGCAAATTGAAATTCATAAGAGTTGATTATAGATATAATTTAACAAGTTTTTATTAAAAAAAATAAGAAAAAGAAAGTGAATTACAATATATGAAGTTGATATCACAATACTCATTATTCGACTCTTAATGCTCTTTAGCATATGTCTAATGCTCATTAAAAGTGTGTTAATGCTCATCTAAAGAAAACCATGATTTTCATTAAAATTACGAAAATGCCACCGTTTTTAGTTGTGATATCAGCTTTCTTGTAATAACATGGTGTTCATTATTAGACTCTTAATACTCATTAAAATTGGACTATTGTTCATTAACAGTACACTAATGCTAATTTAGCAGAAACTGTGATTTCACATTAATTACAAAAATGTCACCGACTGTACGGTGGACAGACTCAATTCCTCCCATCCATAACCAACAAAACTGCCCCCAAATATTGCGGCTAGGCGCCATGAGAAAAGTTGACTGAACAGTCAATCAGACACAAATTTTTTGTTTTGATTTGTTTTTTCGTTGGGAGAAATACTTGATAAAAAAATTCAGTGTTCAACACGACACTTCTCACTACAGCAGCGGCACCACTAAGTTACCGAGGGGCGGGGTTGGAGTGAGGTTTGTGTAAGGTAGGGGTAGGGAAGGGTCGGGTAGGGGGTGGATGGGTAGAGATAGGGTTAGGGGTACGGGTAAGGTAGGAGCAAGGGCAAGGGTAAATTCGGAAAGTTAAAAAGTTTAAGGTGCCGCTTAATTAATACATGGAGGGTGATATGGTTAGTAAGCGACATATTAAGTACATATAGTAAGCAGCTTTTTAAGCAGTCTAAATGTTTACTTCACACGTCTTACTGATCTAATGTGACTTTAACAGTGAAGTAAACATGGTTTAAGTGCAATGGCATTGCAGAGGCAATGGTAAAATTGGCAATAAGTAATGCTCTCTATAAGTAAACCGAGATATGTAATTTCCTATTTCCAATCTCTAAAATTGCAGAGTTGTATGTAGTTTTAGTTTGACTCTCGTAACCAAAGTTTAAATGTCTCCACTCTATGTGTACATATTTTTTGTACATGTCAAACGTTGCAGACTTGCAGTCGTGATATGATGTCGAGATTCAAATACCATATGGATTGTTTATATGTGACACTACTACCATCTATATATGTCAATTATCTTCCATCCAATGACTCAATTGCTTTATGCCCAACATGAACATTTACTAGGATTAGTCGACCTTCGTTCCAAATTTATTTAAAGATTTATTGTGGTGATTTTTTTGGTACATCGAAGTTGAAACAACCAAAGACATCTCATTGTCATTATTGTACTGTAGATACTTGTGCCGGAGTCTATGAAATGAATCACAGCGATGGCTGAGCCTAGAAGGCGTTACAAAATGACGCAGTGGCAGCGACAGTCATCACACAATTTAGCGTTCCTTTTCGGTCTTTTCTTCCCATTCCTTCTGTACCCTTTGGAGTCTTCCCTCTCTGAAGCTCTACTATGACGTCTGTACAAATAATAGAAAGCCCTTATCACTTTCGATCATCTACACTTGTATTATATATATATCCGAGGAATGCTTGGTGTACACCATTTTGTGTACATCATTCACACACATTGTCTGTCTGGTAGATAGACAATGTCTACGAATGGTGTAATACAAAATAATGTACAACAAGCACTTTTCTATATATCTTCCCATATTAATACTTTTGAAAATTGATGCCTTTGATTTGTGGCACTCACACCTTCAGGCTGAATTGGATGTCTTAATTACCACCCTTGTTTAGCATATACAGGCATTGACTCCTTGAAGGAGTGGGTATTTTAGGACTTATTCTGGGTAGCAAAGTCAAGGCACAAACTGGAAATGAGCAAAAAGAATGAACACAAGGAAGCCTTTTTTAGGCATACAAATATACAATGTAGGATTCGATTCGACTGGGACTGAAGATTCCATCCATGCCTGGATTTCCCTTTCCGAGAAATCTTTAGAGAATATATAGAGTAGTGCAAGAAGAATATCGGTTCCCTGGCAATGCCCATTTTCCCAAGTATAGTATGGGTTCCAGATTCCACAATATATGATGCTTTCCAAGTGGGTAAAGAATTTTCAGTCTCAGAGAGGTAATGTGGCTTTTTAGTCGGTCTCCGAAGACAAACAGGGTGCAGCATATCTGCACACCCGAGAGTCCGATACTCCGATCGGGCTCTAAATTGATGATAGGTTTGGGAAAATCTTGAAAGTCCCAGATTGAATGACTTAAGAAGACGTGCAAGGTGCCTAACTGCATATCTTTGGAGACCAGCTAAGAAGGCAAAAATCCAAAAAAAAAAATCACACGAAGATAATGTCCATCAATTCAAAAACGCCTAAATCAAGCGTTATTTCATCATGTAAAACACATACTACTATGTCCTTGGTGCACGTTTTAAGAAAATAAAGAACAGAGTGGTTGTTTTAATAAGTATAAGAAAAAGTAAATTGAGTGCACATAATTTAAAAAAATGAAATGATAGGCAAAAGGGTATCTTTTTAGACAACTCAACAATGAAAGTGTTCATATTTTTTAAAGAACTCAAAAAGGAAAGTGCGTAAAAAACTTGTAAACTCATATGTCCTTCACCTTCCAGCTGCAAGTTTTTTACAAAGAAATAGTGACATTTTTTCTTAATGAACAAAGGAACAATGAGATTGAAATTTCAAAACCATCATCATATTTTCTTTTAAAAATTCCGCCTTTTATACCTCTAGAGTATAAAAGGGCAGGAATAATGACAACATAATAAGCAACCACGTCTTTTCCAAATTTGGCATCATCATGAATGATTTATGACTTTGTGCAGTTTGAACTTTGAAGATGTAACCATTCTGGGCCTCTGGGGTGAAAAGTAAAAGTGAATTCCCCACATTGGAGTAAACATGGATCAAATGCAAAATTAGGAGTTATTGTTTTAAATTCCTTATTATATAGGAGTAATGATCGTGTTGTGTTTGGACAAAAGTACCCCCGCTAGCCTGCTACCACCACCTGCAGCCGGTTGCCAGAAATCTGCCGCCGCCATACTTTTACCGCCAGTCACCACCACTGTCAGATCCGCCGCCACCTCCATATTGACAGGCGGCAGATCATGTTTGCTTTATTTTGGTATAGAAATATTTACGTTTAGGCATATTTAGGGAATAAAAAACATTTACTCCTATTTGTGCAATTTCGTTTAGCCTTAGTCCTATTTAGGACAATTTCTCAAAAGTAAATCACATGATATTAGAAAGAAAATGTGGGTATGAGTAGAATTTAGATTAATGACAAAAAATGTCACTAAGGGAAGAAAAACAAGCAAGTTCTCCAATGGCAGGCAGGCTTATACTACCAGAAGTCACTAACAACCACAACTACAAAAAACAAGGAACACAGCAAACATAACTAAAGAGTAAGTAGCATTATGAAACAAAGAAAAATATGCAGAGCACCAAAAAAAAGAAGACAATCCTAACAAAGAAATTTGAAATCTCAAACTTATCTGCCCTGGTTTTCATTCTTTCTTTTATAGGCCTAAAGACTGAGTGAGAGTTTGATCAAATTCTCACTTGGCCATCATGACCTTGACAAACTCCTCATAGTTGATCTGACCATCCCCATCAACATCAGCCTCACGAATCATCTCATCAACCTCCTCGTCAGTAAGCTTCTCGCCAAGGTTTGTCATGACATGGCGAAGCTCAGCAGCAGAGATGAACCCGTTCTGGTCCTTGTCAAACACCCGGAAAGCTTCCTTCAGCTCCTCTTCTGAATCTGTGTCCTTCATCTTACGAGCCATGAGATTAAGGAACTCTGGAAAGTCAATTGTCCCGTTCCCATCAGCATCAACTTCATTGATCATATCCTGAAGCTCAGCCTCGGTCGGGTTCTGCCCCAATGACCGCATAACCGTTCCCAGCTCCTTGGTAGTAATGCAGCCTGAAACCAAGTTCATATTAGAATAGACCATACGGGGTAGAAAATTTACAACTTTTGCTCCTGTGATTATTATATCATTTCCACTCTTGGTTTCCAACTTTTATGTTTTCAATTTTGCTGCCCAAGTTATGGCTCTGTTGCCACTCTTTTTATCCTTCCAATCACTTACTCAGCCATCTTCACTATATTTGTCAGTTGATTTTCGCCAGAAAAAATGATAGAAAAGGGCCAAATGTGGCAAGAAATTATAAGAGAAAATTCTTTAAATAAGACAAAAACATAAAAAAAGAGCACAAATAGAGCCACCATTGTTTTCTTCCCGAAATAGGACGAAATCACTCCTAATTGGGAAAGTTTTGTACTTTTAATAGGACCAAATAAGTCCTATTTTGGGAATAAAACATTGTCTATGTTTTAGTCTTATTTAAAACAATTTCTTAAATATAAGTAATTCATAGTTATGCACCAAAAGTGAAAAAAAATGAAAGACGTGGAACATAAGTAGAAATGAACTAATAGTTGTGGGCCTGAAAATGCAAAAATTTCTTAGTAACAGAAAACCTCTTTGCTTGTGATTTACATTCTCTTTCTTAGCATGGACTAGGAATGTAGGGAGGTTTTATATTTCATCAAAATATACACGGAATTTGTACGAAGAGAAGAAAACACAAGAAATAGAAAAAATACAGAGCACATATAGCAAACAGGTCAAGAAAAGCATGTTCTATTATAGACTTGCGGCCTTAGGGTATGAGAAGCACAGAAGAGAGGTTTTGTTTAAAGATAGTCTTTTTATATTAGTCAAGGCCACAAAATTTTCCGATCGCCTTTATCTTCAGCTGTACAGAGTAAATGCAAACTTCCTCCATTCCAAAGTAATGGTTCTTCTAGAGATTTTTTTACACTTTTCTCTGTATTCATGCACCAAATAGTTCTTTGTATATATAAGGGATTAATGAATGGATGAGTAAATAAATTTTTGGATACTCTATTGGTTACCCATAAGAGTAGGCACTGCCCCACCAATTCTTATTTCACATGCTAAGTCAGCATTTTACCTCATCTAAGAAATATATAATCTGCATAAATGTGACATGGGAAGTACACATTATATGCCCGCAGTAAGAAAAACTCATGAAACCCTTTATACTTCAATAGACAATAATAAATATACTAACAAATACAAAATAGGAAAAGTGGAAAGCGAAAATACAACATCATACTCTTATAGAAGTATGGTGTTAAGAGGGAAACAAATCCCATCTACATGCAGCAATGAACTTTTTTAGCATAAATAGGAAAAAAATTAAGTAACACAAATGGATAAAGAAACATAATAAGGATTTATATGCAGCTATTCGTTAGCAGTCAATAAAACAGCTCAACTAAAAGTAGAACACATGCATAACCTTAACTTATTGAAAAAGGATCCTTACTTCCATCTTTATGAATAAAGATCATTTTTCTCTAACCCTACTTAAGGTTGGCAATCACATTGAAATGGCTGGCAGCCTGGCACTGTAAAGTGCAGTGAAAACATATAGTAATCAGGAAGAAAAAAAAAACTTTTTTTATCTGTATATAATCCTCCATCTTCACACCAAACCAATAAACCTCGTTTTCCGATAACAAAATAAGAGATTCTAATGCAGACACTCTCATATGCACGCCCCACGGATAAGCCATAGATACAATTTCCGGAAGAAAAAACTTGATGAAAAGCTCAAAAGCATGAACGGGAATCAAAGAAAACAAAACGCGGAGCAACTAATTATTCATTTTAGAAACTTTATCTAGGTCAACGCGGATAAGTAAAAAAATCTCATCTATTATGTCAATCCCAGATCAGAATCAGATAAGCAGGAAAGATAAAACGAAAGAAGGAGAAAGGATAACAAGACATGGATCAAGGATTCTAAGGTAAAATTCATGAGATAGCACAACAGCGTACATAAAAAAACACTGACCATCTCCGTCCTTATCAAAGAGACTGAAGGCTTCCTTGAATTCAGCGATCTGATCGTCGGTGAGCTGGTCCGCCATTGTTAAAGAGGGGAAAATGAGAGAGAAACAGACAGAAGAAGAAACGGAAATGGCAGTCTTTTATCGAAGAAAAAACGATGGAATCTGTATCTGAAGGGCAACTTTAGGAATAGGGTGGCGTGGTAGACCAGGAATGCGGTACCGTACCTGATTCTCTCCCACAATTTATTTTTCAATTCGCGCAATAGCTATTTTTTTATTTAAACAATGCTTCAAACTCCACAATATTATGATTAATCATGGCAAAACTTCCTCCAAAAATAAATTTAACAATTTAAAAATTATATTTTATAATGTTATGATTGAGTAAGCAATTAAATTTTTCAAAATTTCTAAATTATGAAAATATACTAATCACTCTAGTAAATAAATTTATTCTTGGAAAATGATTTGTGCATAATTAATCATAACATGGTGATTTGAAGCATTTTTCAAATTACTAGGAACTAATGTCTATAATTTATATATCACAAATGCATCTGATGCACTACATCCAGTCAGAGAGGAATGAATATAGAAATAACAACACAATAATACTAGTGGATATAGGTTTTGTAACACAGTCCGGTCCTGACAAATGAGAGGCCCTGTTCAAAAGAAAAATCGGAGGCCCTAATATTTAATACAAAAAATACTAATAATAAAATAAAAAAGTAATATCATATTTTATAATTATACTACATACTAAAATGCAATTCTTCTTTGACTAATACACCAAGAGCATCAAAATCACATCCAATATTTTGAAATTAAACTACATTTATTTAAATAATGATATCCTTCTAAGATTCTTTGAAATAAAGTCATCGATAAGGTCTTCATATGCAATCTTCTCCAATATGTCGCTCTCAATTGCAACTAAAGCCAATCCATTAAGTCTTTCTTGTGTCATTGTTGACCGCATGTAAGTCTTTAACGCCTTCAATTTTGAAAAGCTTCGCTCTGCAGTTGCAACAGTAATGGGAATAGTCAACAGAACTCTATATGCAATAACCGCATTAGGAAAGCAATCAAGACGTTTTAAAAATTTCAAGATATCAACAGGCCCCATATTCTCCATTGGCAAAAAGTCTTTAAGTAACTTTAATTCTACATATAATTCATTTCCATCAATATCTGATTGTTCATCCTTTTTAAGTGATGCTTCAAGACAACTACAACAAGATTTCAAATTGTTATCATCTAATAAACGCAACCTTTCGGAGGTAAATAAAAACCCAAAAATATTCTCATATTGTTGATATTGTTCAAATCTTGTGGTAAGTGATGTTATTGCTTGATCAACAATGCATAAGAAATAATTAACTCTAAACGACTCTTGTGCAGATTGGGAAACACTAGAACACTCATCATCTGCATTCTCATCAAATTGCCTTTTTATTCGAATTTGCCGCTTTTGAGGAAATACCGCGGCAATGTTTAATTCAATACAAATGTTCGATGCAATTTCTAAGGCACTTGAGAAACCAGTTTCTCTATAGTTTTCAAAATAAGAAATCAACCCCTTTAATTTTTCAATAGCAACATCAAGAAGCATGTCAATTTTTTGCAAATCCTTGCTAACTAAATTAACAACATATAAAATTTCATACCAAATAACTACTGCCACAATGAATTCAAAATTACCAAGATCATTTTCTGCTAAAGATTTTGCTTCGCTCCTAATTTTGGAATCATTATCGGTTTCTGCTACCTCAAGTAAAGCTTCTCGTAATTCTAAAACCTGAAATCTTATAGCTTTAACACTATCAACACGGCTCTCCCAACGAGTAGATGACAATGATTTAAGAGTTAATCCCTTTACATTTTCTTTCAAAATTTGCCATCTTTTAGTGGAATTTGCAAAAATTGTATACATATGTTGAATAAGTCCAAAAAAATCCTTAGCTTTACCACAAGTATTAGCCATATCACATAAAGTCAAATTAAGGCTATGACAACCACAAGGAGTATAAAAAGCTCTAGGATTTAAATCCAACAATTTTTTTTGCACTCCTTGATGTTTTCCTTTCATATTAGACCCATTATCGTATCCCTGTCCTCTTACGTTATCAAGCTCAAGATCAAGAGAGACCAATTCATTTTGCATAACATCAAAAAGGCCTTGACCAGTCGTATCATTAACATTCAAAAACCCTAAAAATGATTCCTCAATGCAAACTGAGTTTGACGAGACATCCACATATCTCAATATTAAAGACATTTGTTCTTGATGACTTATATCAGGGGTACAATCAAGTATCACAGAAAAGTATTTTGCTTGTTTGATTTTTTCAATAATTACAAATTTAATTTGAGAACCAAGCAAGAGTATTAACTCGTTTTGGATCCTATGCCCTAGATAATGATAATGAATTTCATCATTTTTAATACGTTGAACATGTTCTTGAACAATAGGGTCAAACTCTGCCAACATCTCAATTAAGCCCAAAAAATTTCCATTACTGTTTTGATACAACTTCTCATTCGTACCACGAAATGCAAGATTATGTTTAGCAAGAAATTTCACCACCGAAACAATTCTCAACAACATCTTTCTCCAATGCTCTTTTTCTTTTTCGAAAAGTTTTTGAGAAGTTTTATCAATCGTTTGATTTTTCTGCAATCTTAAACGCAAATCATACCATGTAGTCATATTTTTAAGATGTTCAGCACTACATTCATGTTCTCTAAGCCTAGTGGTAACATGTGTCCAATCACCAAATCCCTCATTCGCTAATTGATTTCTACCAATCCCTTTTTTAAATATTTTACAGCAAAAACAAAAAACTTTATCAATTTCCTTTGAATAAACTAGCCATTTTCTATCACACTTCTCTCTATTTGGTAAAATTCTAGTGTAAAATGCAGATGAAAACCTTCTTGATGATTGATCTTTAGGACCCTTAGTGATAGATAAATCTCTAATTGGACCCTTTTCAACTAAATTATTAATCATGTTACAATCAAGAACATCACAATTTCTTGGATCAAATATATCAATACTTTCAAAAACATCATTAGCAACAACATTATCATCAAATTCACAACTAGAATTAACAATGTCATCAACATTATCATTAGCAGTTGCACCAAGATCATCAACAACAACATTAACAGTTGCACCAACACAATCATCAACATCAACATCATTATCAGTTGCACCAACAATATCATCAACATCAACACCACCGCTAGCACAAGTATTTTCATTCGCAAAAACACTTTGTGGTTCTCTTGTAACAAATTTTTCTAAAGCTCCTTTTTGAGATAAAATAAACTCATCTGTTTTTTTTTTCTTCATTCGTTTTTCATATCCGGATTCATATTTTCTAACTCTTGGAGCCATTTTCAAATATCAATTTATTAAATTCTAATTTATAAATTATAAGATGTAGATGAATCCAAAATTCCAAATTAACAATTACAAAGTATGAACTAGGAAATGTGAATGGGATTATGGGAACAAAAACACCTGAAGATTGAATTGAAGTCCTGAAACAGTCCAAACAGATTGTGTGCCAAACTGCCAAAGTGCCAATGCCCACCGCAGCACCGCCCCACCCTCAACTCGGCCTCAAGTCGGAAAGTCCTCAGTCCTCACTCGGCTGCTTTCATCTGCGAGTATGCGCAGGTTCTGGGTTTCGCAGATGGCTTCCGTCCATTAGTCTGCTAGGCGATTTGCTCAACTTGAGAAGAATATAAGGTATTTAAGATTAAAATCTAACGGTAAAAACAATAAATTGATTAAATTTCATACCTCTCCGACGTTTTAGTAGTTTCGCCGCTTCGATTTCTCTCAATCGCAGATTCCCAGTCTTCTTGGTCTTCGTAGTTCGTCCGTTCGTCGCTTCGATTTAGGCATTTAGCCATTCCGCGTTACTCGTTAGGGAAGTAAAGAGGCGGACGGTTTTTTTTGTTTTTATTGGATCAGGCCTTTTTTCGAATTATTAGTTATTACTCTTTACTAATGGGCCTAGCCTAGGTATACTACTACACTTAAAAAAATTGGGGGCCCTCCAAAATTGGAGGCCCTGTGCAGCTGCTCCAGTTGCACCTGGGCTGGGTCGGGCCTGAACACAAGTGAATGAAATTCATAATAAATTAACACAATGAATATTAATTAATATAGATATAGAAATAACAACACAATAACCTCCCGAACACAAAGATCTTCCCACTTTGCCTTTTCACGGTCTTCTAAGTTGAACTTTGACTCTAAATATCTACATATCTATATTTATAAAATTCATAATAAATTAACATTCAAATAATATGTTTTACAATGAGGTATATGAAATAAATTTTTAATTATAACATAATGTGAATTTTGAATAATTAATGGTCAAAGTTTATAAAATTTGACCCAAAAGAGTCAAACTAGGAAGATTCTAGGGTTAAGGAGGTACTATAAGATTTTCTCATGAGAAAAGTTATAAACCGGCATCAAGGAAAGTAAGGGTTCGTTTGCTAAAAGGATATTTTCAAAACTGGAAAATTAGTGCAAGGAAAATCGCAAATCGTATTTGCCTGTTTATATTCTCCATCATTTTTTTTAATAAATTTACTCCATCATTGAAAAACTGAAATATGTCTATAATTTTCTATTTAAGTTGGATAAGTCACTTTCTATGTTTTCCAAAATGAAGATACACAATGCTACAGTGCATAAACTTTGAAATCGATGATTAAAAATGTTTCTAGCACAATAGTCGATGAATAAAAATAAAAAAATTAAAAGTCGAGTAACAAAAGTGTTGCTGATATAATAGTCAGAGAACCGAGAGTGACAAACACTTTATAAGTTTTTAATACTAACTTTGATCCATACATCATGCAAAAAAATGTGGCTTTAAAAAAATGCCCCAATTGGACATTTGAGCTTTAAATAAAAAATATTTAAAAATTATAAAAAATATCACTTTGTACTGCAATTGAAGCTATTTTTTGTGTGTTATTTCAAATATTTCTAATTACGAGTACTTTATTATGCATTGTGCACGTATTATTTTTTTAGCAGCGTCAAGAAGTATTTGTCATTTCTCCGGCATTCAATTTTATCATGTCTCAATTCCTCAATGTATATACTTACTTTATGATTTTGAAAAATGAAATGAAAATAAAGAATTTTGGAAACACCAAATATGTGTTAAGATTCGGAAAATGAAAAATTAGAAAATGAAAAAGAAAACAAAAATAGAAA